TTATAAAAATGATCAATGTTTCAGATCGAAACAAAAAGCTTTCAGTAAAAAGCAATACAATTCCAGTGCGATAACAAAAATGCAAAAAAAGATGAAAGTTAAAAGTAGGAGAATTGCTCAACGAGCTAGACTTGAAAATCAGGAAGAGGTAGTTAGAGTCTTTAAAGAAAAAGCTATGCTGGGCATAGATTATACATGTTGTTGTTGTGATCGTCTCTTCTTTCCAAACCAAGTTCAAAGATGTGAACGAGAAACATATGCAAAGAATGAGAAAGCAGCAAATATTGCAAACTTGTGCATTCAGGAAAAGTATTGTCACCAGTGCTCAGAGTCATGTACGGAGAACTGCGTTAAGTCAAAGTTATGGATTTGTTTCACTTGTCACAGGAAAATTATGAGGGGTTCTATTCCAGCAGAAGCAGCATTTAACAAAATGGCCCTTGAAGATATTCCAAAGGAATTGAAAGAACTAAACAGCCTTGAGAAACACTTAATTGCAATACACATACCTTTTATGAAAGTCATGGCTCTTCCTCATGGTGGTCAGAAAAATATCCACGGGCCAGTAGTATGTGTACCATCAGATCTAAAGAAAGTTACAAGTTTGCCAGTGAAACCTGGTGAGGATCTTCTGCTTAGAGTGAAACTGAAGAGAAAATTGAATTATAAGGGGTACATCGAATACCAGTTTGTTGATCCAAAGCACATATTCAATGCATTAAATTTTTTAAAACGAAACAATCAGTGGTATGAAGACGTAGCTATAGATGCAAACTGGAAAGGAAATTTTAACAATTTTCAGGAAATGTCAGAGAGTGATGATCTGTTATCAGATGATGATGATGATCAGCAGCACATTGCAACAGATACTTGTTTACAACCTGTTGATATTGCTCAGGAGGTTCTTGATCATTACTTTGATGATATTTATGATATTGCTCCAGGAGAAGGAAATAATCCAGTAAGGATGTTAGAGGAAGAAGGAAATGAGGCTAAAACATTTCCATACCTTTTTCCAAGTGGGCGATTTTCGTGGAATGACAATAGAGAAAAACGAATAACACTGTCAAGATACTTCAACAACCGACTGATGAACACTGATGGAAGATTTGCAAAAGACAGTAGTTATATTTTTTTCAGTCAGTTTTTGTCTGATTTAAACCAGGTTATAGAGAAGACACAAATATCAATTAGAAAATCAGCCAGGAGAATAGGAAGTGACCAGTTTGTGACATCAGATATGATACAAAATCCTGAAGTACTTTCGAAGTTGATGAAGAATGATGAGGCTTTGCGATTCATGCAACCTATACGTGGAACGCCAGCGTATTGGTCAGCAGCCCAAAAGGATCTTTTTGCTATGCTTCGGCAATTAGGAATACCTACTTGGTTTTGCTCATTTTCTGCCGCTGAGCATAGATGGAATGATGCAGTTGCCACTATATTGAGACAACAATGTGACAGCAGGGATCCCTGTGTGATGGACTGGTCTGAAAAGAATGAGGTGCTGAGAAGCAATCCTGTAACAGTTGCAAGAATGTTCGAACACAGATTTCATGTTTTCCAAACAGAAGTGATATTTTCACCATTAGAACCAATTGGAAAAGTATCAGATTTTTTCCAAAGAGTCGAATTCCAACAGAGAGGGTCTCCCCACATGCACTGCTTATATTGGATAGAAAATGCTCCAAAACTTCATGAAGATGGAGAGGAAGCCGTATGCAATTTCATTGACAAATATGTTAGTTGTGCAGTGCCTTCTCAGAATGAAGATTTGGAATTAAGGAATATTGTCTTGGCAGTACAGCAGCACAGCAGAAAACACTCCAAGTCATGCAGAAAGAAGGGCACAGACTGTAGATTTAACTTTCCAAGACCACCCTCTATATGTACATTCATAAATTCTCCTGTCGAGGAAGAGAGCTTGGAAAATGCAGCAGAAACTACTGATTTGAAACATGAACGCTCAAATTCTAAAGAAATATTACTGAGAGTTTGGAATGAGGTGCAAGATGAAGTAAATGAACCACGCACTACAGAAGAGATTTTTGAGAATCTGGGTTTAACACAAGAGCAGTATGAGGATGCACACAAAAGATTAGCAAAGAAGAGAACAGTTATTCTAGAAAGAAATCCATGCGAGCTCTGGATCAATCAGTATAATCCATGTCTTTTGAAATGCTGGGATGCCAATATGGATATTCAATTTGTTTTGGATCCATTTAGCTGCATTGTCTACATAATTTCGTACATTTCAAAGTCTGAGAGGGAAATGGGAATGGTGTTGAAACAAACCAAAATAGAGGCAGAAGAAGGAAATGAAAGTGCACGAACAACTTTAAAGAAAATTGGTTCTGCCTATTTAAATCATAGGGAAGTCAGCGCACAGGAAGCTGTATACCGTGTATGCAACTTGAAAATGAAAGAATGTTCAAGAAAAGTAGTATTTGTGCCTGTAGGTGAAAATCCAACTCGATTAACGAAACCACTGTCACTGCTGAATAGAAAACATAGTAAGGGGGATGATGAACATGATGAGAATGACGACGATGAAGATGACATTTGGATGACAAATATAGTGGAAAGGTATGCAAATCGACCAAATAAACCCTTGTTTCAGAATATGTGTTTGGCTGAGTTTTGCTCAGAATTCCGAGTACTTGCTAAATCACAGGTTCCAAAGAGTTTAAACGAAAATGTTTTTGAACTCCAAAATAATAAGGGATTTATCCAAAGAAGAACACGCACAAAACCAGCTGTAATAAGATACCCCAGATTCAGTGCAGCAAAAATGCCAGAAAATTATTTCCAAAGCCTACTTCAATTGTTCTTGCCGTACTGGACAGAGCTTCAATTAAAACCTCCAGGATTTGATCTCTATGAAACATTTTATGAAAATGGACATGTCAGAATCACAGGAAAGAAAAATGTGGAATCAGTCAAAGCAATTGTTGATGCAAACCGATTGCGTTATGCTCAAAATGAAGAACTAATTGCAGAGGCTCAGGAGACTTTTGAAAACATCGGAGAACTGGAGGATGCATGGGCAAACCTTTGTCCTGAGACAGAACTAGTGAGAGAGGAATGTTTGTATGAGAGAAATAAAAGTTTGGAATTGAATGTGACAGAAGATTTGCCAGACATGCAAACAGAAAAGAATTGGGATGTTCTTTTCAAAGTAGAACAGAGTACACAGTCAAATGAGGAGTCATTACAAATCCTACAAAATTTAAACGAGACGCAAACAAAGGTTTTTTACTTAGTTCGGGAGTGGTGTTTGGAAAAACAGTTTGGAAAAAAAACTGACGCACTTCACATATTTATAACTGGTGGAGCAGGAACAGGCAAAAGTCATCTGATCAAAGCCATACATTTTGAGGCATCGCGAATACTTGGAAAGAACTTGACATCTCCTGACAGTGTATCGGTACTACTTGCTGCTTTCACTGGAACAGCTGCATTCAATATTGGGGGAAATACTATCCATCATTTATTTTCACTGCCCAAATATATGTCTTTGCCATATGAACCATTGAAAGAACAGAGTCTTAGTGAAATGAGAGTGCAGCTTGGAGACCTGCAAATTCTGATTATTGATGAAATTTCAATGGTTTACAAAAGATTATTGTACTATGTTCATGAAAGACTTGTACAGATTAAAAAATGCAAGGAACCATTTGGAGGAGTTTCTGTGATAGCTGTTGGAGATTTCTACCAGCTTCCTCCAGTAAAACAGCGAAAAAATGAAAGGCTGTATAAAGAAAATGCTGTTTACCCTGTTGATCATTGGCTTGACTTTTTCAAAGTGGTGGAGTTATCTGAAATTATGCGGCAACGTGAAGACATCCCATTTGCAAAAGCATTGAATTCACTTAGATGTAGAGAAGTAAAAGAACCACTGGAATATGAAACAAATTCTATCCTGAAAGAATGTGTAAGGGAAGGGCCAAATAATGTGCTTCACGTCTATGCAACAAATGATGAAGTCAATGCCTATAACTTGACAATGCTAAGGGGTACCTGTGAAGACATTGTTGAGATTGACGCGCAAGACTTTACCAAAGATAGATCATCAGGCAAGCTAATATTAAGAAGCAAGCCATTGGCAAGAGCAAAAACAGACAATCTTTCTAGCAGTTTGTTAATGGGAGTTGGAGCAAGAGTCATGCTTACAAGAAACTGCAATGTAGAAGACGGACTAGTAAATGGAGTTATGGGACATATAACACATTTTGTATATGGTCAAATACATGGTGTGAACACTGTTATTGCAGTAGGAGTAAAATTTGACAACATCAATGTTGGGATGAAGTCTGGAAATAAAACAAGAAATGGAAACATCGTTCTGCTTGAAAGAATTCAAGAGGAGATACTAGAACAGAAGACAAAAAATGTTGTTCGATATCAGTTTCCATTACGATTGTCTTGGGCATGCACAGCTCACAAAGTACAAGGCATGACAGTTGACAAGGTTGTTGTAAATTTAGATCGAACATTTTCTCCTGGACAAGGATACGTTGCATTGAGCAGAGTTACGTCAAAACAAGGATTATTTATCGAAACAAATGACATTGAGTCGATACAGAAAAAGATATACGCTGACCCAGAAGTCAAATCAGCATTGCAAGGAATGCCAAAATTGATACTACCAAACTTTGATGCATCAAAACAAGGCATTACGATGTATTTACATAACATTCAGAGTCTCAATAAACATTTTGAAGATCTGAGAAAGGATATTCGCTGTAGGAATGCAGACATCATTTGCTTGACAGAGACTTGGTTGAGATCTGGACAAAATGTTAGTTTATTTAAAATAAACGGTTTCAATTTTCACCAAGCGACAAGAGAAGATGTATATGATGAGAGCAATGCTCAAGTGTCAAAGCTGCGTGCATCAAAGGGTGGAGGTGTTGCAGTTTACATCAGAGAAACTGGACAGGAAAAAATTGCTTGTTCACTTCCTGTAAAGAATGTAGAGGGCATCTGTGTGAAGTGCGTTTCACAAGATATAGCAGTTGTTACTGTCTATCGCCCAATTTCTTTAGAAGTTTCCAAGTTCTTATTACAATTCGACAAGGTGATCTCTTATTACAAATCACAAAGTAAGTTCTGTGTTTGTCTTGGAGACTTCAATGAAGATGCAAGATCTGCTGGATCAATTCAAACATTTATGAAAAACCAAGGCTTAAAACAAATGGTTGATTTTAATACAACAGAGGGAGCAACAATTCTTGACCATGTGTATTTATCAACATCCTTACATGCAGAAGTAAAAAAAATATCAACGTACTACAGTTACCATGATGCCGTGATGGTAACTATCATATCAGACACAGAAAAGAATTTTGAACAGTAAAAACTAGTTTTTAACACCACCAGCAACAATGCATAATGCCTTCGCACTGGTTATATACGAGGGTTGTTCAATAAATAATGTCATCAGCTCGATGACATACAACTTAGAAATCATATGACATTAAGGTAGACTTTTTATTATTAGTGAATCTTCAATGAGTTGATAACTGTTTATGTTAACACTTTTCATCACATAGTTTCATTGTGGGAAGCTGGAAAACAAGGGCTATTCGAGACAGTGCATTAAAAATTGATGGTAAAGAATCGGTAAACTAGAATGTAATTAAGGACCCTCTCTACACCTGTACAAAATGTTTTTTGGATATTGAGAAAAATATATTCTATAAAGGTGTTAGTATTGAGCTTATTTATATGATTTTCAACATATGGTGCGTGGCATTTACCCCCAGGAAAAATAATCACAACACAGTATCATTGAATAGAAATCACTGTTGTTCACTTCCATAAATAAAATACATGTAAATAACATGTTCAATTAATTTATCTTGGCCTTTTAAAATGTTAAGAATACCTGAATTGATTACAAATTGTGTAATAAACTGTGAATTTCTAATTTTAAGAATTTAGATCTAAGGGCAGATCACTCTAACGGCAAAAATTAACAGAATCAGAACTCTTTAGTGTGCAGAGTACAGAGGGTTCTTAAACGCATCATTAAAACTGTTGTAAAACTTGTTTAGAATCCCCCTTAAATATTTACTGAAATATGTGAAATTTAAAGAAACTAATGTTTGTTTTATACACACATAACCAGGTGCATTTTAAAGACGCTGGGTGGTCGAGGCCATTTTAAGACTATTTCGATCTCCTTTAGAAGAAGAGCTCCATTTAAAGATATACAAAAATGATCAAATGTTAAAATTAAAATGTATGAAATTTTACTTTCTCAAATGATAGCTTAATTTGTATTGACACTGTATCTTGTTCTTTACATTGATAAAATACACTTGACAAAACAGCAAAGGCCTGAGAAGATCAAAGAACTGCAAGGGCACAAAACAGGTTTATATGCTAATTTCTTAAATATTAGTGGTCTTGTTGTTCAAATTCTTATTCGGTGAGGCAGTTTAATTTCTGTAGGACTTTATTTTTATCTATAGCTCTTTAATTACCAATTATTTTAATTATAAATTTCTGAAGCAAAAAATTATCTTAACAATCTGCAACAATGTATTGTAAAATTATGATCATATGTTACGTAATGAGGGGCCATAAGGGGCCAAAATGCTAAACTTTTCATTCTTTATATAGGGGAAAATATTTTCATAGATAAATGATGTTCAGAACTGCCCTCTAAACAATATACATCCATTCATTCCTTTAAGGGACTGGCCCCTAAATAATTCTATTATACAAAGCTCAAAAACAAAACATTTCTGAAAAGTTGTTGAACAAAATATTTGTAAAATCAGGAACCTCATTTTGAAGAAAAATGGTCTGAAACTTCAAGCAAGGGGCCCAGAACAGCCAAAAGACTCATCTATAGCTATTTGATAATGTTAGTGAAATTTTGATATTATAACGTTTTAACAAAGAGCAAAGTCAAAAATCATATCTCATCGAAAAGTCGGACGGAAGACCTACTCGTTGCTCGCAACGAGATCGTTTCTAGTTATGTTCCCCAAACGAAGTTGGGGAACATATTGTTTTTACTCTGTTTCTTATTATGTTCCCCAAATGAAGTTGGGGAACATATTGTTTTTACTCTGTTTCTTATTATTATTATTATTATTTTTCTTCTCGGGAAAATTTTGTCCGCGAATGATCTTGTAAACTACACATCCGATTTAGGTGAAATGTTTTTAGGGTCAGTAGACATGTTATGTAGATTTGCGGAACAAAGGTCATTTTGCACGCACGTGCTTGCAAGAGCGTGCACGTGCAACACGTGAAATGACCGATTTAATTGATATAGGCGTAACTTTTTACACTTTTGATGAAATGCTTTAAAACTCATAATATAAGGATATACTAGTAGCATAGACAATATCACATGATCAAAGTAGCAAGATCTCACGCGCATGCACGTGCACTTCGCTCTGATTGGCTGAAACTAAAGTCTCAATATCTTTCTTGCTTTTTGACAAAATCCTTTGAAATTTTGAACACAGCCATGCATTAGGATATCCTACAATATGATATATAGCAATTATCATGAAAACACGTGCATGCACGTGCACTGCAATCTGATTGGCTGAAACTTTAAATAGCTATAACTCCCTTGTTTTACAACCAAACGGGGTGGGATTTGGAACATAGATAGATATAATGGATTTCTACAAGAAGGTAAGGTCACCATGCACATGCGTGCACGTGCGTGTAGATGCGCTGCAATCTGACTGGCTTAAACTTTAAACAGCTATAACTCCCTTGGTTTATAACCAAACGGGGTGGGATTTAGAACATAGATAGATGTAATGGACTTCTACAAGAAGGTATGGTCATCATGCACATGCATGCACGTACGTGTACATGCGCTGCAATCTGATTGGCTTAAACTTTAAAAAGCTATAACTCCCTTGGTTTACAACCAAACGGGGTGGGATTTAGAACATAGATAGATGTAATGGACTTCTACAAGAAGGTATAGTCACCATGCTCATGTATGCACGTGCGTGCACGTGAAAAGAGTAAAATAAAGATACACTTGAATGAGCGTATTTTTTAATACTTTTGGATTAAATACTTTAATATTTAGTATATCAAAATATATAGATTGTGTAGACAAGATGATATGGTAATTACCCACATGCATTCACATGCGCAAGCGTGCAATGCTTAAATTTGAGTGAACTTGGTACACTTCTGGGTAAACGTTGTTAAAGTCTTAAATGCATAGAGTTTGTCTTATTTAATGAAGCCTCCAGGGAATATGGCACCAAAGGGGAATTGGGGAGCGTTTGGGGAACATCTGTAACGGTCCCCGTTACAATTAGCACTAGTTATTATTATTCTTATTATTTTTCTTCCTGGGAAAATTTTGTCCGCGAGTGATCTTGTAAACTACACATCCGACTAAGGTAAAATGTTTTTAGGGTCAGTAGACATGTTATGTAGATTTGCCGAACAAAGGTCATTTTGCGCGCACGTGCTTGCAAGAGCGCGCACGTGCAACACGTGAAATGACCGATTTCATTGATATAGGCGTAACTTTTTTAATTTTTGATGAAATGCTTTGAAACTCATAATGTAAGGATATATTAGTAATATAGACAATATGACATGGTCAAAATAGCAAGATCTCACGCGCATGCACGTGCGCTATGCTCTGATTGGCTGAAACGAAAGTCTCAATATCTTTCTTGTTTTTTGACGAAATCCTTTGAAATTTTGAACATAACCATGCATTAGGATATCCTAGAGCATGATATATAGAAATTATCATGAAAACACGTGCATGCACGTGCGCTGCAATCTGATTGGCTGAAACTTTAAATAGCTATAACTCCCTTGGTTTACAACCAAACAGGATGGGATTTGGAACATATATATAAAATGGACTTCTACAAGAAAGTATGGTCACCATGCACATGCATACACGTGCGTGTATGTGAGCTGCAATTTGATTGGCTGAAACTTTAAACAGTTATAACTCCCTTGGTTTTCAACCAAACAGGATGGGATTTGGAACATAGATAGATGTAATGGACCACTTCACGAAGGTATGGTCTCCATGCACATGCCTACACATGCGTGTATGTGCGCTGCAATCTGATTGGCTGAAACTTTAAACAGCTATAACTCCTTTGGTTTTCAACCAAACGGGATGGGATTTAGAACATAGATAGAAGAATGGACCTCTTCAAGAAGGTATGGTCACCATGCCCATGAATGCACGTGCGTGCACGTGAAATGAGCAAAATCAAGAATACACTTGAATGAGCGAATTTTTTAAATACTTTTGGATTAAATACTTTAATATTTAGTATATTAAAATATATAGATTGTGTAGACAACATGATATGGTCATTATGTACATGATTCAAATGCGCACACATGCAATGCTAAAATTTGAATGAGCATGCTATATTTCTGGGTAAACGTTGTTTAAGTCTCAAATGCATAGAGTTTGTGTTATTTAATGAAGCTTACAGGGAATATGGCACCAAAAGGGAGTTGGGGAGCGTTTGGGGAACATCTGTAACGGTCCCCGTTACAATTAGCACTAGTTATTATTATTTTTCTTCTTCTTCCTGGGTACTTTTTTGTCCGCGAGTGATCTTGTAAACTGTTCATCCGAAGTAGGTAAAACCTTTTTCGGGTTAGTAGACATGTTATGTAGATTTGCGGAATCAAGGTCATTTTCCGCGCACGTGCTTGCAAGAGCTTGCACGTGCAACACGTGAAATTACCATTATAATAGATATAACCGTAACTTTTCTTTTTTTTGACTATATGCTTTGAAACTTATAATATAAGTATATATTAGTTGTACAGACATGATGACATGTTCCTCGCGCACGTGCTTGCAAGAGCGTGCACGTGCAACACGTGAAATGACTAATATAATAGATATAGGCGTAACTTTTCTATTTCTTGATGAAATGCTTTGAAACTCATAATATGAGGATATATTAGTAGTATAGACATGACGACATGGTGAAAATAGCAAGATCTCACGCGCATGCACGTGCGCTTCGCTCTGATTGGCTGAAACTAAAGTCTCAATATTTTTCATGTTTCTTGTCATAATCTTTTGAAATTTAGAACAAAGTCTTAAATTATGAAGATCTACAGCATGATATATAAAAATTTTCATGAAAGCATGCGCATGCGTGCGTGCTGCAATCTGATTGGCTGAAACTTTAAATGGCTATATCTTCTTTGTTTTTTGACGAAATGCTTTGAAATTTAAAACATAGTGATGCAGTAGGATATCCTACAATACGATATAGAAAGAAAATCATTAAATCACGCGCATGCACGTGTGCTGCAATTTGATTGGCTGAAACTTTAAATGGCTATATTTATTTTGTTTTTTGACGAAATGTTTGGAATTTTAAATATAGTCATTCATTAAGATATCCTTCAATACGATTAAGATAAAAAATTCATGAAATTACGCGCATGCATGTGTGCTGCAATCTGATTGGCTGAAACTTCAAATGGCTAAAACTCCCTTGTTTTTTAACCAAACAGGATGGGATTTAGAACATAGATAAATATAAGGACCTCCTACAAGAAGGTGTATTCATCATGCACTTGCTTGCACGTGCGTGCACGTGAAATGAGTAAAATTAAAAATACACTCGAATGAGTGTATTTTTTAATGCTTTTGGATAACATCTTTGATATCAAGTATATTAAAATATATAGATAGTGTAGACAAGATAATATGGCCGTTACGCACATGAACACGCGTACAATGCTTAAATTTAAATATATTTTGTATTCTTCTGGGAAGACCTTGATAAGTTTAAATTCCATTAAGTATTTCTTATTTAATAAAGATTACAGGGAATATGGCACCAAAAAGGAGTTGGGGGGCGTTTGGGGAACATCTGTAACGGTCCCCGTTACAATTAGCACTAGTTGCACTTTAAAATAACTTACTCCATTTGGACCCCAAGTGAGAGTCAGATAATAGATCGTTGCACTCTGGGAATTTTGAGGCCTCTTCCTCATCTGATATGCTTTCTTTGTAATTCTTTAAGTTCTAAGTTTTACTTTGTAAACATAATGATGTTTAGACTGATCCCAAATCTAAAAGATCCCATTCAGCTGCAGTAGTCACCAGAACAGGCAATAAGAAACCGACTTTTTGCACCCTTTCATGACCATGCCAATCGATGTTGACCGTAATTCAGGCCTTGACTTACAGTTACAAAGTAACGATTGCCAGTTAATAGGATAGAGCAGGACGGGGCCAATCCGAAGAAAAGTGCGAGGAACCAATTCCCTAACCATAAAGCCTGTTTTTGATTTATTTTTTTCTATCTCCTATCCCCTCCGTACTCTAACATCACTAACAATCCACATTCCTCCCTCACTCTTCCTTTTTTCCTTTAATCCTCTCCTGGCCTGATTGTCTTTCTTTGCTAACTTATTTTTCATCTTATTTTTCATGGAAGAAGTAATGTTTCTGAATTTGTGTATTTTATTTCATTGTTCGGAATGTTTACTAACTTCCTGTAAGTTGTGCATTTTCAGGGCTTCCGACGTAGGACGACGAAGGAGGAGCAAGGCCGGCCAACAGAAGAAGAGGACTCCATTACCCACCTATGTCCCTCAACATTGAGGAAAGCGGTAAGATGGATTGATTGTATATTGTTTTACGTCCCTCTTGAGAATTTTTCACTCATATGGAGACGTCACCATATACCGGTGAAGTGCTTCAAATTTAGACCTATACTCGGCACTCAGGGCCATTGAGTAGTGAGGGTTCTTTATCGTGCCAGCGCCCACCGCGACACGGGACCTACGTTTTTAAGGTCATATCCGAAAGACCCGTGACTTTCACTTCTGATGCCGAGCGCTTGGCGAAGGAACAGTCACTACCTATTTTTACGTCTTAGGTTTGACTCGGCGCCGGGATCGAGAATCGAACCCTGGCCTCCCGATCACGAACCCAACGCTCTTCAGAAAGCG